TCGTCGATAAATAAATATATCAACACCTTCATTTGAGACAATAATTAAAACAACAGATATTAATTTCACATTTGTTTTGTATATATAATTGAGTATATTGTAATTTGATAAAGTTTTCAAATATTTAAAATATTATAATTCAAAATATACCAAAACTCAACTGCTGTGACCATAAGGTTCGGTAAAAATAGGCTGTGAAAGACCGATAAAGACAAGAGAGATACAATGGAGGATATTTTCCTTTAGATGCAAAACTTATAACTAGAAATACACGTTCCATTACCCATTTTATACAGTCAAATTAACTTTCCATAGTATACAGCATTGAAATACAGAAATATTGAATAAAATTCACAACTAGAAGAAATTGAAAACGCTTTTGAAATCATATTATTGAACTATTCAATTCTAGACTTGCGTCCATTCAAACGTCATAGTACATATATGTACCTATAGTTAACATTTTAGAGGTCCATTTATATATTTACCAACTATATATTTATTTATTTATTTATTATCATGTATATGTGTGTTTCATGCTTTTTGAACTTAGTTTTTACCAGAAATCAACTAGGATATGGAAAGCTTATACAAATCCTATCACTGTGCAAGTATAATTTCACTTCTTCCTATAGATAATTAAGCTTCTTCACGCCACAATAAACTCACCTTTATTTTTTCTTATAAAAAGTTCCTTATTCTGCTAATTAATTGTATAGTAAGAGTAGACATTACGCTGGTAATACAAGTGTCTCAATTTCCACCATTCTATGGCTAATGTATACGAATAAATAAAATATAAATGTCTGTTTGTAATGACAAAATAAGTTTTACTAAATGCATCTAAAATTATATACTTACGATACTTATTAAAAAAAAAACGTTTTTTTAATTTTTTTATGTCTGTATCACGAATAACTTAGGCTTTTATTTTAGAAAAAGAATTAGGATTCCGCGTAAAAAAAATAAAACCTATGAAATTATAAACAAATTCCGACAGACAGACAGACAAAAAAAAATTAAAAATTGTGTTCTTATAAGTACTTACCTTGTATAATTTCATATGCGTAAAAATTTGTTATTTTGACTTTGTATGTTTGGGTTTCCCTACCTTTCTTCTGTTGAGCCTCCCCGGATAGTAAAAAATATGTTCCTGCCCCCTTTTATTTTTTTATTATAATAAAACACATTATTTTAACGATTTTTATTTATTTTAATTTTAAGTTATACAAAATAAACTCTCTATACGTACACCTAAGGAGGTGTACCCTCTTAGTAGGGGCCTCCTGGTATAGAAGATAAAAATTTACAACGTGCGAGAATCGAATCTCCAGCAGTAAGACAATGCTAGTGGTACAAACAAACATAAATTTGCTTTCCGCTACATACTATTCTTTATGTGGTATATTTATGACTGCTAACTAATATTCGTGGTTTAGCTAGCAGTTGCAGTTAAGTGAATGTGGTCGTAAAAAGGAAGTAATGGTCGATAAATGTCCTATTGCTAGTCCACTAATTAGGCTTATGCGGGATCGGCTAATTTGAATAATGAATGCTGTTTTTGATTACCAACGTGGGTTTGGACGAATAAATTTTCTATTGACACAGATTAGACATTTCAATTTTATATTTTTTTCCAACTTAATATGAATATCATCGTACCGGATCGGCTCAGCTTAATTTTACAAAATATTGATGAATTAAACCTATAAAGTTCTTAGAAAATTGTTCTTCTATCGGAGAAAAATGTATGAAAATCCATATATATACCTAGTGGTTTCTGCGATAAGTTCGAATAAACAAACTGCGCGGCTTTAATTTATATTATATAGTAGCTGTATTACAATAAAGACGATTCTTAATTTTAAAAATAAAATGTAGAAAATAAGCTATTTTTTATTATAATAAATATAAAATCGTTAGTAAAACAAAAACAAACTGAATAAACAAAATAGAAAAACAAAAACAAATCTATCCCTCAGAAACTGTATATTTTTCCGGGATAAAAAGTAGCCTATATTTATTCCAGACTATAATCTACCTCTGTGCCAAATTTCATCCAGATTCATTCAGTCGTTATGGCGTGAGAGAGTAACAAACATCCATACTCACAAACCTTCACATTTATATATATAATATTAGTATAGATATAAGAAGCCACATAAATCCAAAACGTATAAAATTGGTATGGGATATAAGATATTAAAATTATCCATTAATAGGTTATGTACGTTTCGTGATCTGGATCTCTGTAGTGGATACTCTAGAGACAAGCACGAATCTCTTTGTGTATATCTGATGTATTTTTTCCATCTGAAGTATTTTTTGTTTTCTTTATTATTCTTATTTGTTATTTTGATTTAATTATAACAATATATTATGAAATTTAAAAACTTATACAATTTAAAAAGTATGTACGAAATGGATAGTAAAATACTATTGTAATTATTACTATTTAAAAATATATAGGTATATTTCATAAATAAAATGTTTAATGTAAAACTATAATAAAATATAGGTTGTAAATAATAAATTATTCGTACATTTAATAAGTACTAGCTAAAAACCAGATTTATAGAATAAATCACTTTATTTTTCCCGGATTTTTCAAATCCTAGGTAAATTTTCCAATTTTTCCCTAAAAACCTTACTCGAACTATTATGTACATTAAACAAAATTATCCATTTCGCCGATATTGGGCAGATTTCGGTTAAACTATTTTCAAGGGATGAGCTTACCAATGAACAGCGTTTATTATTTTAATATAACTACTCGTAACATTCATTCTGTGGTTGAAATTCGACAATAATCATTGTTAAAATTTGAGGAAAATATATGAATATAATTACTTACCTATCTATATTATTATAATTTACCTATCATAAAAATACTGGCTGTTCTCGAATTTTTTTTATGGATAAAACTAAGCTCGTCAATAGTTACTAAACAAAAATAAAGAAAATCGGTTGACAAACAGAACAAAAAGGTACTGAAAAGGTCTCTTTTGTTTTTGGCTATTTATATTTTATAATATATAGATATAATTTTATCATATAGGTATAAACGAATACTGAAAATTATAACACAACTAGCGTACATACGTTTTAACGGTTAACTTAGATTTCTCACAGATGAGATATTTTCTCGCAGTAAAAAATATCCTATGTGTTAACCTGGATAACAAACTATCATCATACCAAATTTCATCAAAATCTGTCTAGTGGTTTTCTCGTGATGCGGTCACAGACAAACAGACAGACAAAAATTCTCAATACTGTAGATTCGGCCTCTGAATCGATAATAATAATTATTTCAATAAGATTTCCCAAAAAAATATTTAATGTGCAAATTCGACTCTGTAAGAATTTTATTATATGTATAGACATAGATCATAATATGTTACTATACTAGTAATAGATGTCATCTCATATACATATATACACTAAAGATCAATAGTGAATCTGAATAGGCATAATTATATTCCATTAAGCAATAATCGTTAACAATTAGGTAATAAGGAGTGCTGCATTGTGTTCTCTGTTTATCTCAGGTCACATTGCACAGTTAATAGCCCAAGTTCAGTCAAAATATTTGATAACCGTCATATAAATTGTGTCTCAAAATATCGATTAGACAGAAGGCCAAGAGTTTGATGCTTGAAACGAATGTGGTAATTATCAAATTCAATTTTTTCCCCAATTGAAGCAGATGGAAATAAAATGAATTTTCATAGTGCTATGTCCACTAATCGGCTAGCTCTCACACTACCAATCAATTATAATGATTAATCTGTATGAAAATGTAAAGCTGAACAGTATGTGTGCATGTTTTAAGGCCCCAATATTTGGAATTATTCGTACGATTAAAAAAATTATTTTTGTATTTTACAGCTTATATATTGAAGAAGGTTTACAGGCTATCTAACATGATATTAACATCTTTCATTTAGGTTGAGAAAATAACTATTTTATAGCAATATTATAAATTAAATAAATTTAAAAAGAGCAACTGTTGAGTTCCTCGCTGGGGCTTCTTAGCAAAGCTACCTTTCGAGCCGGTGGTAAATTCCTCACAGACTTATGTCATTCTGACATTTAATTTAAATTTAAAAAAAGTATTTGTGAAAGTCCATTGAAGTAAAGTGTTTTTTGTTTTATTTTTTATTTTAGCAGCGCAATAAATACACATAGATAAACTATGCAGGTGAAACCGCGGGCAAGGCTAGTAATGAAGAACATAAAATTATTGGCATATTTTATGCAACGCTTAAAGATAGCTCACACAAGTCTAAAAACCGTTGAAAATGAATATAGAGCTTCCTAGTCTTTTTCATATTTGAACAAGACTTAGTGGCAATCCCTAATGAATTTTAGTCCATAAGTGTACACATTATATAGCTACTTTATTTCTATCTATAAATCTGTTTCTTAGAAAATTGTTGTTTTTATCTCTACAAAAGAGTAAAGGTAATATTACCTGTGACTTACTTAATACTTATTATAAATGTGAAAGTATGTTTGTTTGTTTGTCCTTCTTTTACGTCCGAAACACAGTAACGGATTGGCGAGATTTTTTGTGTGGAGATAGTTGAAGGGAAAAGTGGGAAAAACGCATTTGTATTTGAAATTTAAATTTAAACGCTGACAGACAATTTAATTAACGCTGATTTGAAACATAAAAACTACAACGGAATGAAATGAAGTGCTTACAGTAACTAGATATTACGGAATGTGGATGGTGTAATAGCATAACTCACCTCTATAGATATTACATAGAAGCAAAGACGCAGGGAATGGACTCAGCAATACTGTCATGAAATTGACGACTTTATAGAAAGGGAGAAAACGAACGTCCGGCCAATACCGGTTTTTTATTTCAATTTGACTTAATAAATGTAATGTAAAATAAATATATATTATTAAAAATATAATATTATAAGGGGGTGGAAATGGGGTTGAAAGTTTTTATTGGAAAGCAATCTAGTTTTTTATAATCTTACCTTGGCTCTCATTAAAAAATCCTAGCACCATAATGACGATTACGACGAGACCAATCTTGAGCCGGTAGCCCAGGAGACGCGCTTGCATCTCGGGTAGCCACATCACCGCCATGCTAACTTTGTCTCATCCATTCGTTATAGGAAATGTTGGGCGGGCCAGTTTGACGCATTGTCTGCAACAAAAATAAAAACAGAATTAAAAACTTTAAAATCACAGTTGGATATAAAAAAAAATGCTCCTGAGGTTATTTATTACATATTTAGATTTTTATCTGTGTACCTATATTATTAGTGTTGATAGTCTGTATTTAAATTCAGGTTCAAAGCTACCAGAGTTGTACATTCTGATATTATTTGTGTATTACACATACAGTAGCGACTCAACCTGCTCCACTTCGATTCGTCCCAAGGTACCTACGGTTAGGGTGTTAACGGTTACTATAGATTTCTCAAAGATATTTTCCCGCCGTAAAAAGTATCTTGTATGTTGACTTGGAAAACCAGCTATCATCGTACCAAATTTCAAAATGTTATTGAAATATACATTATTATCGATACAGAGGCCGAATCTATAGTTTTTAGAACTTTTGTCTGTCTGTCTGTTTGTCTGTTACCGCATCACAAAAAAACACTTTAGGGATTTTGATGAAATTTGATATGATGGTAGCTGGTTATCTGGGTCAACATATAGGATACTTTTTACAGCGATAAAATATCTCATCTCTGAGAAATCGATACTAAACGTTAAAACGTAAATAGTGACGAACCTGAGAGAAGCGAGGGTGAGTCGCTGGTTTCATTCTAATTTTATACACTATTATACTTCCTAATTAGTTTACTAATTAATATTTATAATATTATATTTCTTTTGTGTAATTATAATATATTTTAATATTAATAATGTTTATATATTTTAATATTAAGTATATACTATTTAATGCTGTATATACCTACACCTCATTAAATTAACTTATTTTCTCACTTCTGAAAGGTTTCTGGAAGAAATCTCTAGAGATAAGCTATCCTTTGTTGACTTTCTGTTACTTTATTTTATATAATACATATTTTATGGTACATAAGTAAATAAATAAATATAATTTTGGTATACAAAATTATTTTTTCCAGCTTAAATATTTATAACAGCTGAATTAATACAATTGGTTCAAGAGGCACATGTTGCAATGTTGATAGCTCAATGAGATGTTTCCAGCTTCAATACTCATAGAATTTTAAGACATGGTTGAGGAAACTTTAATTAAAATTCGCCATAACGATGCAAATGCTAAGTGGTGTTCACTTCTAAGGGTCTTAAGGGTAGCTATTGTCAATTTCGTAGTATTCTATCGCTTGGAAGCAGTGATTTATAATTAAATATTGTAATAGAATACGGTTCCTTTATTTAGAAGAGTTAATTATAAATTAAATTACAGAAATTTCTGCAAAGATTTATTCAATTTATTTTAAGATTTATTCGATTTTTGTAATTTTTTGAATAATCAACGCTATTTTTGTTATTAGTCCTACTAATATTATAAATGCGCGAGTTTGTGAGAATGTATGGATGTCTAGATATAAATACAGATGTTTGACAGTTACTCTTTCACACAAAAACTACTGAATTGATTTTAATGAAACTTTACAAATATAACTCATACATCATAATAACATATAGGCTACTTTTTATCCCGGAAAAATATACGGTTCCCGTGGGATAGATTTGTTTTTTTAGAGGCGAACCCGAACGAAGCGAGGGTGAGCCGCTAGTATTGAATGTATTATTGTTCCTACTAATACAATCAGCACGGAAGTTTATGCGGATCACGCAATAACTATTGAACGTATTTTGATAAAACTTTACAGTAAATAGTATGTAAAATAATGCTAAATTATATAGAAAAAATATAGTCTATAGCTTGTAAAGATATAGTAATAAATACTAAAATATGCAAGTTGGGCCGCGGGGAAAAGATAGTTGAAATTAAATTTAAACGGGGGTATTTTAATATTTACGTAATATATTTAAATTGAATATCTTTTATTATTATATTTTTGCATCAACTGCCTCGGTGGTGTAGTGGCTAGCAACGTACGGCTGCACACCCGGAGGTCCTGGGTTCGAGTCCCGGGTCGGGCCAAGTTTAGTTATTGAGTCTTTCTGTATAGTAAGTCCCAGTAACAGCCTGGAGTTGGGAAGTTGGCGGTGTTTCACCCCCGTGCCTCGGAGAGCACGTAAAGCCGTCGGTCCTGCGCCTTAACTCTCACTGGTCGTGTCGAGCAGTCGTCCCACCGGAGTGTGAGAGTGACAGGAATTGAGAGTGCACTTGTGTCTGCGCGTACACTTGTGCACTATAATATCTCCTGCGCAGTTGGCTAGTCTTAATGAGATTGGCCGCCGTGGCCGGAATCGGCGAGGAGAACATCATTTTTGCATCTGAATACGTAATCACTAATAGACAAGCTACGGACATCACGGAATTCTAGTGCTATTGAGTGTTAAATATAAAACTTTTAAGTGCACTTCACATGCGTTTAGTCTATACATAATTATGTATATAAAATTCTGAGTGGAATCTGTACATTAAGTTTTCGGAAAATCTTATTGAAAAAGTCATTATTATCGACACAGAGTCTACATCTATAGTTGTTACAATTTTCGTCTGTCTGTCCGTCTATCACGGATTTTGATGAAATTTGGTACCATGTTAGCCGAATCTTTAGTTTTCAGAATTTATGTGTCTCTCTAGGAACGCATCACGAGAAAACCTTTAAATAGATTTTAATGAAATTTGGTATGATGATAGCTGGTTATTCGGGTCAATATATAGGACACTTTTTACCCCGGGAAAATATTTCATCTAATATAGATTAGTAGATTAGTATAGACTAAACGTAACGTTTATTATATTTTCAAAAATTATAATTAAAAAATATGTGTCTGTTATCCATACATCTACTCGTATATTCCTTAAAAATTTAGTATAAAGTTTGAAATGCCTAAGCGATAAATATCCATTTTAACATATTGAGAAAAACAAATTGACACAACTTTTCTGTTTCATGATTTTTACATCTTTTGTAGAACATTGATGAATAATAAGAAAAAGCCTTAAAGTTAACTTCTAACTTGGTAGGGAAACGTAAGCTAAGTATGAATTATTGCTTTAACCTATACTTAGAACAGTGTTTCTAAAACTAAAATGTATGACGTCACGTGTACAGAAACACATTTGTTATTATCGTCCATACAATACACATATAATAAAAGTGTTAGTACTACTACTGTACATGGAAAATATTTGAGAATCTACTATTATTCATATATACTAATATTTGGGGTCTTTCATCGTAATAGAACCAAAAACAATGATCCCAAAAACTGCTTAGCCGATTTGGGTGCGATTTACGCTAATGTATTGTGATAAGCTTCACAAAACATTTAGTATTTGTTTTATTTCAATCGGTTCATAAATAAAAAAGTTAACTCAATTCAAAGAACCACCTAGGGACGGACTCAATTTTTTTCAAACGTACTAAAAGAAGTATAACTTCAACAAAACTATCTCCAAAATGTATTTTTGATAAGAATAAAATTCGTCATTAGCTCCTAATCAAGAACAAAAGACTGAACTGTTTCGCCTTCACATATTTATATACCTAATCCCTCCACGACCGCGGACACGCCGGCGTTACAGATAACAATAGATTTTTTAGAAATTTCATTAATTTCTTAGAAATTTACCTAGAGGTAACATAGATACTTTTATATAAATATAAATATGTACGAGTATATATGAAATTCAACTTTTAAAGAAACTCGTGTTGAAGTATACAAAAATAAATCAACATTTCACAATTATGAAAAACTTTATTTTAACATACCTTTCGCTTTCATAACAAGTAAGTTTATCGTGTGTTTTCCTTAGAGATAAATATATTTTCCCGAAATAAATAGTAGCTTATAATACTCGAACTTCTTCCTCCATATGTACATAAAAAATCACATCAATCATCCGTAACATCTTTACTCGAAAACAAGACAAAAAATAAAGACTCATTCAAAATTATACTTAATATTAATATAGATTTTGTCTTCATTCCGTATACGTAAGTAACCATCTTATTTAAGACTGAAATGTGATTTAATATGTAAATCTTGATAAAGCTCTTCCTCAAGTTATTTGTGAAGAACGCCTTCTACTCTAAATATTGTTTGGTTAGCATTTTCTTTGTTATAATATATTATATATACTTGTATTTACAATTGTAATTATTGTAACTACCTCGGTCTCATGGCTAACATTGATGGCTATAAATCTGCAGGTCCTGGGTTCGAATCCCGAATCAGGCCAAGTTTAATTACTGAGTTTTTCTGTTAAGATATTTTCAGTAGTAGACTTAAGTCTTGGAAAGTTAGCGGTTTTATACCCCGGACCTTGGAGAGCACGTAAAGCTGTCGGTCCTGCGCCTTTACTCTCACTGGTCGTGTCGAGGTATTGTCCCATTGGACTATGAGAGTAAAAGGAATAGAGAGTGCTTTTGAGTTTACGCGAATACTTGTGCACCATATTATCTTCTTCGCATTGGCTAGTCTCAGCGAAAATGACCGCCATGGCCGAAATCACGCAAGAGGACATTATTTTATATTATAACATAAGACAATATTATTAATCATCTACTATACATATAATAAAATTCTAAATGAGTTGAATCTGTACATTAATTATTTTTTGGAAAATCTTATTGAAATACTGGACAGATTTTGATGAAATTTGGTATGATGATAGCTGGTTATCCGGATTAATATATAGGATACTTTTTACTGCGGGTTACTACTGTTTTTGTTTAGATATTTTATCTCAGAGATGAGATAAGATATCTCAGTAAACACATCTATACTTACCGTTAAACGTGCCTAGGGACGAACCCGAGTGGAGCGAGAGTGAATCGCATTTTATTCACATGAATAAAACAAAATAAAGGAGTTGTAATAGGTATTGTACCTGAAATCAAATATAATGAACATATATATTTTTATCAATTCCATTGTCTTTTGAAACGAATGAATATATTTATGTGAACAAAATAAACAATATAATGTAATTATAATAGGCAAAATAATAAATATTGTAAAAACATATTTAAATAGAACAAAGGTACGAAAATTAATTGAGATTAATTTTCTTTTGTTCTATATATGTACATATACCTATAATTAAATTATTATCTATACATATAATAAAATTCTAACTAAACAGAATCTGTACTGTCCGTCCGTCCGTCCGTCCGTCCGTCCGTCCGGCCGTATGTCCGTATGTCTGTATGTCTGTATGTCTGTTACCGCATCACGGAAAAACCACTGGAGGGATTTTGATAAAATTTGGTATGATGGTAGCTGGTTATCCGGGTCAACATATAGGAAACTTTTTATCGCGAGAAAATACCTCATTTCTGAGAAAAAATACAAAAACTGCATTGTAAGATTATAGTAATATGTAAAACCTAAGAATTTTGTTTTTGGTCACCTGAACGCGGTCGGAGCCGCTGGCAGTGCTAGTTTTGATAATAATATAAATATAACAAAAACAAATGTGTTTCAAAAGATGCTTTTATTAACTGACTTCAACTATAAATGCGAATGATTGTACGTATGTATATTGTATGTATGTACGTTTTTTACTTCTTCACAATAAAATAGCTTTTTTTCTTCACAATAAATGACGATTTTGGATAAAGCACACAGATAGACTACGGCCTGGAGTAAAACAAAGGCTCTTAGGAACTAGGGATAAACCCGAGTAAAGCGTACTAGAGGGAAATTCGCTAGTTCGCTAGCAACCTATAAAATAAAATATATGTTTATTGTTAGAAATTAATACTTACGATACGTAAAGCGCAGGCAGTATAGCAGAAATAAACTTATGTAGACAGAGAACTTTTAAAAGGCAATAATTTCTTAAGAGTTTGGACTTAATAAGAGTTTAGTCTAACTTTTAAATTATGGCTTTTGGTAAAGGTAGCCAACCTTTTAGTTACATCGTCTGGCCCTGGACTATAACTAGGTCTTTGGTGCTTGCACACAGAAAGTGAAGTATAATGAATTATATAGGTATGTAGTAAACAGTATATGATCACTTTATGGCTCCATCATCAGAACAGTTCCATTATAGTATATTTTTAGGCTATCACTCAAGTGATATACACGCAAGTTAAACACAAAGTAGAAAACAGACACATTTTAATTGCGCATAATATAAAAAAGGTACGATAAATGTCGTAATAATTAACACACGTTCATTTCTTTTTAGTCTATTAAGTTTATTTTAAAGTAGTTCAATACGATTTAAATCAAGAACGAGTGCCAGCCAAGCCATTATTTCAATTACGTCGTTCTCTTATTTCCGTTTTAAGTAGTTTGCGCATAGCGGCGTTTGTTTCACTCGTTATCAGATTAAAAATTAACTATATTCAACTAGCAAACTACCCTCTGTTCAAATTCAAAATAGGTTGCATATATTTTTTTTATAATAAGCAGTGTTTAGAATTAACAAAAAAAACAAAAAAAAGACATTGTCATAAAAATGAAAAAAACGTGTGTGTGTGTGTGTACTTATGTACGCACGTAAGAAGTTATACTTCTTTGGTGTAACAGAATAAAAAGATTAGATCCCGTATGACACAACTCTGTGTTTTGTTTGTAAAAGGAATGCAGCTAACTTCATAATGTCGTTTTTTGGCTGTCGGTGTGCGCGCGCATCGTAAAAATTTTACTCTCATATTTTTTTCCAAACGTACCAAAAGAAGTATAAATTCAAAAATAAGTAAGTGGAATAAGACATAAGTAATAAAGAAATATATTATACATAAAAAATATAAGTTTCATTTAATGTTCTGTTTTGGAACATCCTCGCTTCGCTAGAATACGTCCCTTGTTGGTATATTTTGTATTTATAATATTTTATACTCAACTGACTCGTATTGAAGCCATTAATTACAGAATTTAATTGAATTGAATATTTTATACAGGTAGCGTCATCTTTATGTGCTACTGCAGGTTAATAAGTTAGGTAAGGTAAGATACTAAGTTTCAACCAAATATGTCCAGCCATTACAGCGTGAAGGGAGCAGTAATAAAAATACAAACATACAAAACTTTCACATTTATAGTAGTAATATGATCTATTTATAGAAGGAACTAGGGGCTCACCCTCGCTCTGCTTGGGATAGATAGATTTCTCAGAGATAAAACATATGAGTATATGTAAATGCATGTGGGTAGTCCTATACTATATTATGTTAACTGGAATCTAGTGGTTTTCTCGTGATAGACGGACAGACAGACGTAAATTGTAAAAACTATAGATTTAGACTGTATCGATAATAATGACTATTTCAATGAGATTTTCCAAAAAATATTTAATGTACAGATTCGAGTCGGTTAGATATTATTATTTGTATAGATTACAAAATT